CAACGAAAATGGCGATCAGGACATTGAACGACCTCCGGAGTCATCATCGCATCCTTGAGGGGCTGAAAGATCTTTGCAAGACATGCATGGTACATTTGTCGTACAAACTTTTGATATTCAGGCTTCTTGCGATGCTTCTTGCTGGCTATACAGGGCAATTAGTAGCGAGCAAGAACCAAATTAAAATCAGAACACACTCTTAGGGATGGGCAGGAAAGCAGCAGGCAGGACCCCATTACCGTGCGCTCGTCATGCAGTTCCTGTGAGTACACCCGGAGAAACATAAACTGGATGATACTCCTGAAGACCCGTTGCGACGAAAACTGTAGTCTTGTCGCTCCCGGCTACAACGGGGACAAATGCCAAGCCATGTGTTTGTGGATCCTGCCCAATCATGTCCTAGAAAAATCGAAATTAGCAAGAGATAGATGGTGAAGCAAAATGATGGACGGCTTGCTTCCATGACCAATCACCGGACATCAGGTTAGACCATACACATTTGCCGCTGTGATTGAATTGTCGGTACAGTACAAAATTGACATGGTCCTTAGATACGATCGTTCCGAGCTGATTGTGCATTAATTGGCGAGTGTCGCGAGTACAGAGTTCGTAAGACTGTGTCATCCATTTGGGCGGTTGGCCGGGGGGTAGGGGTCCTGAATAGCGAAGTGTATGTGTTTTCCAGGGTGCTTGGCCATCCTGGATTGTGTCAATTGTAGCATAGAGTTCCCGTGCATTGTTCCACGGTGCAGTTGCCCCATACTTGAGAACTGACACAGCCCAAATGTCGAGGACAATATTGATGTCATTTTCGGAGCTCTGGGCTTGGACGAAGTGAAAATGAAAATGGGCGAAGTCAAACTCCGCACGGTCACTGAAAGGTGCCCACGCTGCTGGATCTTGCCCATCTGGCGGAGGGGCCGGAGGTGCAGGCGGGCCAACGTATGGAGCAAGGAATACACCATCAGCAGTGCACAGAAGAGCTGAGATTAATTAAAACAATATTTTGTGGTCGTTTCTGGGAGCTGCATACCATTTAACTGAGGGTGATACTGTGTCTGGAAAGTATTGTCATCTTCGCCTTCACTGGCAGGCGTAAAGTGACGATGTGCCAAATTTCGATGTTGGGTAAGTCCACAGCGACTCTTGCATGTATGTAGGCAGATAGTGCAGGTATAGGACCTGCCGTGGGGCATAGCGTCACAACAAGAGCCAATGCGGACTTGTTCTTTTCGCGCTGAAACCAGAAACAGCCACAAACACTGACGCGGCCTTTGAAAAAAAAAAACTTACGAGTTTTCCCGCACCCCCACTCACTTTGATTCCCTTTATTTGCTCCTCCTATGTCGCCGCCTCCTTCAGCTCCAACCCGTGGCCGTGGTCGCCCTCGTGGGGGCAAGCCTGCAGCAACTCCGCGTGTTGGTGCCAAGCGCTCTGCGAGTGCTCTCACCCAGGACCACACCAATGATGAATATACCGAGACGAAAAAACCTGCCACCAAAAAAAAAAAGAGATCTTCCTCAAGTTCCTCCTCGCTCACCATCCAAGCGCGCTACTCGAGCTCTGCACCCTGGAGGACGCAACATGACCTCTTCCGACCGGGCCGCAGCCCAGCTCGCGGACCAGGAAACTGCGGCCCAGCTCGTGGATGAGGAAGCTGCTAAGGCCCTGAAAAAGAAGAAAGACCTTCCTCCTCGCTCACCATCCAAGCGAGCCGGTCGAGCTCTTTGCCCTGAAGGACCCGACATGCCGCCCACTCGGCGCACTGCGGCCGAGCTCGCAGAGGAGGACGCCACGAAGGCTGAGCAGCGCCGCGCACTTCAACATACCATAGATGTGGCCATCGCAGCTGTAGCAGCTATGGATGCTGAGCAAGATGCTGCTGCTGCGCAGGAGCAGGCTGATGCAGTCTTCAGCACCGAGGACCTCGACTACCTGAACGAATACAACATGGAGGTGGCCCTGGACGCTAGGCCTGCGGCGCCCGCTGACAGTGAAGACCCTAAGGATTCGGACACGGAATTCCTCGAGGTTGACGATGCTGCTTTTGCACGCCTCGAGGACGACGAGGCCTACCTTTTGGAAGACCCATTTGCGGGTTCTGTTGCCGTTGGCCGGAAGACTGGAAAGGTACGCACAGCTTGAGTATATGCGCAGAGTTCTAACACCATGTAGGGCAAGGCCAAGGCATGGGCACCGAAGAAAGTCAAGAAATTTTCGAAGGGGGAACTCAGGGCGGCCATCGAGGACAAGGTTCAAGAGAAGAAGGCCCAACAGGGCACGACATCGTCTCAGGCTGTCAGCGCTCCTCTCAAAAGGAAGGGTGTCCAAAATAGGCAAGTCCAGACGAATTTGCCAAACACACGTAACTCACTCTTCCTTCAGTGACGCCGCTGCCGCCTCCAAAGAGGCCGGTGTCATCTCCAAATTCCAACCAAGGCATGTTGCTGCGAAGGTCGATTCTCCCCTTTCAAGCCCCCTCGGAGGGCTTGCCGATGCCGATGCGGTGTCAATTCATCCACAATTTGCGAAGAAGGCGGTACGAGTACTTTCTCATCTGAAAGTGTACCGTCAGCTTATTCCTCTCAGCTGAAGGGGGTGGGTTCTGGTGTGGCTGGTCCCTCCAAGGTCCACAAAAATGAGGTGTGCATTCTGATGATTCTCGTGCGATGGGTTTCTAAGAGATTAACAGACTGTCGTCATTGACGACAGTAGCGACGACGAAGTGGTTGCGGTACGGGCCCCTGTCAAATTGGAGCGTCGTGCATCGGTCAAGTTGCCTATGCTCGACCTGCGACAATTCCAGAAACCCGCGCCCACCATCCGGAAGCCCAAGACCAAGATCGTGGTCCCGGCGACTTCAAGCGATACCTTTGCGCTGCAGCCCACCACGACCACCCCGAACGCTCTCCCCTCTTTTGTTGCTGATAAGTGGAACAACATCATCATGCTGGCCCTTCACCGTGCTCTTAACGAGTCGGAGAATCCCTGGGAACTCGGGCTTCAGAACGACGGGACGCTGGAAGTCATTCAAACGATTATCAATCAGGCTTGCCCACGCAACACATACAAGGCCACTTGGGGAGATCCAATTGTTTCTCGGGTACGTGACCATCTTGCACACTTTCGCCACAGCTGACTTGCTTCCTTCCCAGTTCAGCGCTCGTTGCGCTGAACACCGCTCGGTCATCGGAACTGCCGGAGTCGACATCGTTGCCGAGTACATCGTCACCAACGAGAAGATTTTCTCCACCACCCAAGCGATCAAGGACTATGCTCGTTACGCTTTGAATAAACGTGGTCCGGCCCTGTGGAAGGAGCCAACACCCCTCAAGCACATCGCTATCCTCGACAAAAATGATCCCAAATATGTCGTAAGCCTGAAGCCTATGTAGTCATTCCATTCTAACAATCCTACAGAAGGCAAAAGGGCTTTTTGAGTCCGACTTCGTCATCTCCATCGTGGCCCCCATCCTCAAAGTTGGCTCGTCGGGCCATCCCTTTGGCGCCATGGCGTTGGCAGCGGCCGCGGTGCGTCATTGTCAATCAATTTGATTAGTGCTGATCAGATATACAGGTGGAACACGGCTGGATCAAGCACCAGACGGGAGAGTTCGTGGGCAGCAGCAAATTTGCCAAGAACACCGCCGGTGCTGCGGTCGATGGCTATCTGGTCTCTGCTCGCCAGCTCAGTGTAAACGCCTGGCAGCGCATCATTGAGGCGTGCAACGAGCACACTGCCCAGGCCCCCGAGGAGGACTTTGACGAGTCTGCGGGTCCTTGCCTGGATGGTTTTAGGGAGAATCTATATGAGCCCAGCAGCCCGTAGAGCCCTCGCACCGCATCTCAAATCATATCTGTGCACCTCATTTTTCGATCTCTCTGATTGATTAGCTTACATCTTTTCCCAGGTCACCGCTTGAAATGTCTCATTACTACACTACCCCTACATACAGTAATCCCATTGCTCCCCCCCGCCCCCTCTGCCGCCCCAAAATTCTAAAAAAATCGACCTCAATAATCGTATATTCATTCTCGTATAATTCTTACCATCAGCGCTGCGCCATTTCCTGGATATATGAGTGTTTGAATATAACGAGATTACAACCTAAGATGATTCCCCAGTTGAGGGCAGGCCATCTGGAATATTTCATAGTCCACAGTTTCTGTGTCAGTTTCCAAACCCAAGTCGCACCAGAGGCATGACATTTCATTGCCATGTGCTCGAGACTTTTAGGAACCTCACAGGTTCTGCAGATAGCAATTGTTTCAAGATTCTCAATATGTGTCCAGAAGTTGCCAACTCTGAAAATATTGTGGATTGACTTCCAAAATAATTCACGGTGGAGTCGTCTTAAATTGGTAGAGCGTATAGATTTCCAAATCATTTCATCTGTTGGGGTGTAGCCAGAAATTTCATAGATGGAGCAACAGATTCGGTCCAAATTGATGAACATTGATTTCCGAAGGGGCTCCGGATAGCCAGCCTTGATAATTTTAGTAAAGATTCGTTGGGAGCCTCCCACAATTCTCATCCCGGGCAAGTTAAACATGATGTCAGTTTGGGTGTAAACCTCTATTGAGGAGTAGGTATGAAGGCCTGGGTCTACGATTGTCCCTTTTGGGTTTCTTTGGTGTGTGAACATACACCGTAACATTTCCGCCAGGTGTCAGCAACCTGAAATTCACACGTTAACCACATGACAACATGGGCTGGCCACCAGCCCTTCATTGGACTGGTAACCAGACTTCAAAGTGTATCGCTCCATACTGGGCCACTTCTATCCATTATCCACATGGCAGACAATGAGTTGGCCACCTTGAGGCACAGCAGCAGACATTTGATCCAGACCGTGGAGGTGTAATATACGTACCATTAATGTAATAGCTGCAGCAATTACTGAAAAAGCCTCTGCAGGGTTTTACTGCCAGTAATATAACCGTGTAATGTAATACCCTGGCAAAACTGCATTTGACATTAATGCAAGAAAATGACAAAAGTACAACTCTGGGAATTGAACCCAAGACCACCAGATCGTCAATCACAGTTAAGTCCTGTGCACTAACCATTGTGCTAAATGGCCATACTGTAAATGCTTGTTACCCTGGCTAGGGTAAGGTACCCTTACCCTACCCAGGGTTCGCTAATACCCAGACCTAGGGCAGGCAAGCTGCCCTAGGTCTTCGAAATTGTTTGTTTATGCTTATTATGTATTTTGGGGGTGTCTCTAACCCTAACCTAACCCTAACCAACCTAACTATCAAATGCTGACAAATCTCCTCAACCACAAAACTGGATGTACCTGTGGCCTAACCTCTAACCAACCCTAACCTCTAACCTCTAACACTAACCTGCCAACCCTAACCAGGCCCTTAAGGCAGGGCCAGAGAGGGGGAACATGCTTATTCTGTTTGGGGCCCACATGATATGTCCCCATCATTTTGTTTATGGTTATCTCCCTTATAGCTTAGGTGGTTAAGGTGTTTACTTAGTTTGGTTTGCTTATGTAATCTGTTGTTTTGGTTCAAACCCCGATGCTGCCATTTTCTTGCCTTAAAGTCAGAAAATGAGTATTGCCAGGGTATTGCATTACACAGTTATATTACTGCCAGTAAAAACTTGGAGTTATTGCAATGGCTTTTTCAGTAGTTGGTGGGCTAATGCATTATCGACACATCCATTGGTGCGTGGACAATGGTATTAATGAATAATGCTAATATTATTCTTATCACTATACCAATGAAGAAGCAAGAGCACGAGGCTCAAAATGACATGCATACAGGTACTACAAACATAGATGGCACAAAAATTTGATGGAGATTATATGGTAAAGGGAAGAAAAATCCAAAGTCAAGGTGCTGGGGCCAGTGGCAATGAATGACCATGCGAGACGTGAGGGGTTTCAGGGAATGTTGCGAGTGGATGGAGGAGTCTTCAACAGATTGAAGGTCTTAAAGTACAACTTGAAGGAATGAATTGCATGGCCAGGGATTTGGTGTCTTTTGTTCCAGGGAATTTGAGGATTTGAGTTGAGACTCGAGAGAGATGAGAAGATACCCAGACTGAGTGGCAGGAAGAAGATCTTGATTTCAAGTGCTGAACAGGTTTGCAGTTGGCAGAAACAGAAAGAGGCTTGAGTTATTGTAGGTTATAATGGGTTCAGTGCAGGAGACGATGTGGGGTTGGATGTGGGAAACAAAGAAAGAGAATGATCAACTTGTTTGTCCAACAAACATACACGTGCGGCGGAGTTTGGAATGACTTGAAACTTTTGCACGACAAGGCCAACAAGGATATTCTGGATAAAATTCCACCGTGTCTCATCATGAGTTCTGGCATATTCTACACTGTCCATACATAATGAATAAATTGATTTCACTCAACCTTGGCTCACAGAACCAGTATCTGCTTCAAATAACCCAGGAAGGGGTGGGGGATTATTCTACTGAGAAACCCGGTTTTCAATGGAAACCCCATGAAAAAAATTGGTGTTATTTGGAAACCCAGATATCGAGGGTTCTCCGCGGCTGGATGCCAGGTAGGTGCTGGCACTGCTGAGATGGCAGCCCGGCATCCTTCTACTTAGGTTAATTCACATGAACAAGTCCTCACAGACAAGTATTTGTGTGATTCAGAGTCAGTGTGACTGTGAGTGCAGCTGCTGCTCCCCACCCCTGCCCTCTCTCCCATTGTCAGCCATCTCAGGTACAACTGATACAATGTTGACCTTTCTATTTAGCAGGTGGGTCCATGATAAGATGCCCAAGCTCAGTGGCCAAGTGATGAAGAAAGACAGTGGAAGAGGTAAGTTATTTCATATCCTTCAGGAATTTGAAATGAGTCATCAAGATGAGAGTCGAAGGTGTGCCAGACAATGAACCGGTGATATAAAAGTTCCCCGAGCGCATTGAGAATATTCTCGTACTAATTTCCAGAGCAGAAAATCATTTACACAAAACCTGAAAATTGGGAAGAAAACACCTCAAAGAGTGGGCTGACATGCACAGTAAAACAAAGAGAACAAACAAAGAGTATGGTCACAAGATGGGATATGAGCGTAAGTATGAACACATGGAACTGAAATTTCGTTGTTGATCCGGCCTTGTTCAAACTCCGCCCAGTGATGCCAGAGGGGCTTTTGAATAGACTTTTCAAAGATCTCTCCGAAAAGGGGGGTTTTTATTGAAAGCCGGGTTCCTCGGTAGAATAATCCAGGGGTGGGGCTGCACCCATCTTCCAAGGCAGCTGGCCATCAGGAATTCAGAAGCTGGCAGACAGCTGAATTTACAGCTGAACTCTCTGGCTGGCCACCAGGTGGTTCAGACAATGGCAGCTGATTTGATTGATGGTCGACATGCCGTCCGTTCATCTGGTGGATGAAAATGTAACAATTGGCGGTGTATACAATGACTGATTTGGGTCATCTACACACTATTAAGATCCTTGCATGCCAAGGGAGATTGCAGTGAAGTTTTTGGTGGAAGAGAGGGGTTCAAATGCTCAAACAACGTTGTCAAACATGACCACACGTGATCTCCGAATAGTAACGCCCTCCAGGTTCCGGTCTGTCCCAAACATCATCCAAAATTTGCCAGAATATTTCATGTCATGGCCTTGTCTTTAGGCATTGACTTCAATGGAATTCAAGTTCAATCAAATACTTCGAGGTCTGAATTTTTCCTGCAAGAAGGAACAGTCCCCTACGGGTGCACTGTAGTTCTCAGCTCTTCAAATCAATGGTTGAATTTTCTTTCAAAAGATGAGTGCCCTCTGGGCACACTGTAGTTATCATCTCAAGTCTTTGAAGCAATGGTTGGATGCAAGAGCAGCCTCTGGGCACACTGAGTATTTATTCAGGGCAAAAAGTGGTCCTATGGCCAGCAGAAGAGGCGAACAATGTCTACCACGGCAATGACTGGCCCTGTGGCCACTGGCTGGCAAGGGAGGTGAACAGTGTCTGGCATGGGGCTCGGGAATTTCTTCAATGGTGACACAGTGGGTGGCCATGACTGAATGGAGGGAGAGTGAGAGGTGATGGGGGAAAAAAGGGTGAGCAGGTGCTTGACAACTGTCTCTAAACACACAGGGCTTATAAAGACAAAGGTAAATACTTGAAATAAGTGGCTAGGTGCAGTCAAGTAATGTGGTGGTTCTGTAACCCTAATCGAGTGGTCAGAGACTCAGACAGACAATTAGTACTAATTAGTGTTTGTAGAACCTGGCTGCCTCCGGATCCCGGAATTTCAGATACTGTAGAACAACTTCAGAGAACAAAAAAAAATTGTGACAGAAGACATATTAGACCGTTGATACAGCTTGTAACTGTGTACCGGTGTAATCTTGCATTTTTGCACTTCTAGTTGCCAACTAAAGCCTCTAGCCGATGAAACGGTTGCTCAGGTTCAACGGTCAGAATAATGCAACTGCCAAAATCCCCCCTATCCAACAACTGAGTTACACCTAACTCACAAAGTGAGATTAAGCACGACTAAATCGACGGTAGACAGACTCCAACACCACACACTCTTTTGACGACCAAGATACACTGACGAGATTCGGGTCTTTTTGGACACAAGTGTAGGTCCAAGGAAACCACGAGTAAACGTATTTGTCACAAAAGTATTCAATTCCCGTTCCCCCAAGGATGGCTAAGTCTCAACTAGCTTTCTCGAAGTGGTGTTCAAGACACAACCTGAATTTATCGGTTGGTTCCCAATGTGGATTTAAGTGTCCCAACTATGCAAAGATAACGGCTGTGAACCGGCTTGGTTTTGTGGGCTGTTTAGACCCGGTTTTGTTGGCTCGCGCCTTATTCCGACAATGATTGGCTCGCGCCTCAAACTTGCTGGCTCGCGCCCCGTAACAATGGCTCGCGCCTCAGACTATGGCTCACGCCCCGTAACAATGGCTCGCGCCTCAGACTATGGCTCACGCCCCATAACAATGGCTCACGCCCCGTAACTATGGCTCACGCCCCGTAACTATGGCTCGCGCCTCAAACAAAGTCTTATTCACTTAAATTCCAAGGCTATTTGACAGTCAAAGATTCAAGCCCAAACGTCGACTTTGTGTGCAAGGGCTTTATTGCTCCTCACTCTCCGGGTCTAGTTCGGTCCTTTTGTTATTCCAAAACCAAACTTGAATTCTGAGGCCTGTTGACAGCCAAAGAGTCAAGCCCAAACGTCGACTTTGTGCGCAAGGGCTTTATTGCTCCTCACTCTCCAGGTCTAGTTCGGTCCGTCCTCCCTGGTTCTGCCCTCCTTATATACTGTACAGAAACTATTACATACGCGTGATTACTAGGCCTCGGGTATTCTACTTAATTAATTAGCCTGTGATCGGTATCAGCTGTGCGCGCCCTGGCGTTCCTAGCCTCCTAAATGTTTGTATAATGACTCCTTCAACCCCTCATGGATTAGGGGTTTATATGTTCAAATATCCCCTGAATAGGGTAATTGGCCCATATCTTCTTCTATGGTCTGTCCCCCGAGTAGATTTCCCGTACGCAGTTTCCATGGCGGAGGCCACAGGCCCGGCAACCTCCTCCTGCCAATTGGCATTGGGAGGAAAGCCTCCGAGCAGCAAAATCACTTGATCGTCGCGATCGAGAACCAGCGTCGGCGTCCTTGATCGGGAGGTGAGTGCGCCGAAAACTCAGTTGGTAAATACGACCTACCCTTGCCAATCGTACACCTTCATGTCCGGGTGCCGCAGGAGGAGCTCGTCCAAATCATAAGCGCGCGCATCGGGCTCCAGCTGGCGCGCCCCCATCCACCCCGACTTGGCCACGGGGAGCGGGTAATTGGCGAAATCGAGCTCCAGTTGCACCGGCTTGGTCTTGTTAATGCGGCGGAGTGTGATTCCCTTGAGGCGCGTCCCGGTGCGCACGCGGCGGTCCTCGCGATGCTCGCATTGGACCTCGCGATCGCGCCCACGCTTCTTGAGCCAGCGGGCTTCGACGACCTCTGCGCGCGTACGCTTGTGGCTGCGGTGGGAGGCGTTGGGGGTCGCAGGCTGATTGGCGTGGATGAAGGGGACGGCGTCGGGAGCGAGGTTGGGCGGCGCAGGCGGGGCTCCAGGGCG